CACCCCCGCCGCTTCCGCTGCCGGCCCGCTCATCCAATAGGGCGGCACTTCCGGCACCCATGACGGAGACTGACGAGCTCTCAGAGCTTGTCGGGAAGGGGTGGGGCGCGATCAGGGCTTTCAAGCAGAAATGGGGCGGGGCCTTATGGTAGCCTCACGCCAGCAGCGTTCCCGTTGCCGGGGTAACCGCTAACCGCCCGGTGCGGGGGGGGCCACGTGCAGCACACGTGCTTGGTCTCTCGCGCAGGGAGTTCGCAGCTGCCCATCCAGAGCGGACAGGACCCTGGTCCCCCGCGGGGCAGCCACAGAGCGGGGCTTGGTCACCGCCATAGGGAACTGGAGCCTGGGGGAACGCGGGGTGCACAGGGAGGGGGCATCCGGGAGCGCCCTAATTAGCAATTAACATTTTGGCCAGGGCACCTCCCCTATGTCCGACTGGACTGGATCCAATACGGTGCTCGCCATGCAGAATGCTCCTTGTGCTCTTCCCTGCCCCTATATCCCCAGCTAGCTAGTACCCCTCGCCTAGGGTCACACTGGAGATGAAGGCCTCTGTATCTCCATTCCATAATTGCAAAGACACATTCTCCGGCCTGTCCCAGTTCTTGGGGGTGGCACCTTTCTTAGCTGTGGGTTTGTGTGTGTGTGTGTGTGTGTGAATGCAAGTCAATATCTGTTTTTCAAGGAAAGAATAGATGGATCATCCTGGGGAAATGAGACTTTTATGTGTATATCAGATCCAACTGCAGTCCATCTAAACCACTGGCTTGTCTCAGACAGTGTGGTCTGTTGTAGATACTTCAGAGGAAGATGCTAAAAACACACAATAGACAGTTATGTCTTAATTTGCCCAAAGGAATTTTCTTCCTAAAATGGCCATACTAAGTCAAACTAAAGGTCCAAATAGCCCTGTATCCTGTTTTCCAACAGTGGCCAATGCCACCTTCTCCAGAGGGAATGAACAGAAAAGGTAATCATCAAATGATCCTTCCCCTGTCACCCATTTCTGAAAAATGCTAGGGACACCGTTACTGCCCATTCCTGGCTAATAGCCATTGATGGGCCTATCATCCATGAATTTATCTAGCTCTTTTTTGAATGCTGTGAAGCAGGAAGATTTCTATTACATTGATATGTTTACCTTAAAATATATCTGAATATATGTGTACCCAAGAACCCCTTAAAGCTGTGTTGGTAACTAAGTGCATTTGCTAGAGTCCAGAGCCAGAGCAGGGTATGCTGGTCTCTCCACTTTGCCTTGCTTTCTTATAAAATTCTTCTACATGAACCTGAAATTCCAGTTCTGAGAGAGTGTTTGGTCTTTTATGGCCTTTGCTACGTGCTCTAACATTCTTTGCTTTGCTACTGTGGCCAATGTATCTGTGATTTAGCACTGGGATTATTCGTCTAATGAACATTCTTCAGACACCATGTTCCTGTTGTTTTGAGGTTTTGCAAATTTAATCCTGGAGTTGTCAGTATGGACAACAGGAGGCCAGACCAGTTCCCCCAAACAGCTGGCGTGATAAAGCAGACTCTGATCCTGGCAAACTTTCCCTTGCTTGAAATGCTTCATTAACAGTACTTTGCAGTTGTTTAAATTCTTCTGGAGCTAGAATGTTGTGTTTGTTGAACTGTACAAGTGCCTGGCAGTTGTGTTTGCTCTCTATACCAGTGTAAAACATATCAGCAGGCCTCCTCTGTAAGAGCATGGCATAGCGTATAGGCCAATTCCTGAACTCATTTCTAATATCTAATTACATTCCCCACTAGGGGGCAGACACAACACACATCTTAACTTGAAATTTTATTGAACCATTAACCCCCATGACTACATTGCAACCTCTTCAGGGTTAATGGATTATACAACACAGGGCAGGTTTAGCATCTCACTATGAATAGTCTGACCTACCTGCTGGAGCAGGGTGCAGCCTTTCAGCAAAGCTTTAACATATGCTAAAGAGCAGGATCTTACATTATAGAGTAGACACAGTACAAGGACCCCTCAGCTGTACAAGAGACCTCCTGGTTCCGCCCTACTTATCCTTAACTGTACATAAAAGCTACTCACATCAGTTTGTATCTCAGCCAGACAAGCAGTCACAACAGTGCTGTTGTTTTGTCCAGTAAGTGCATATGTAAAAAATCATTCCTAAAATACCACAGTCCAACCTTGTGCCATTTCTGCCATCTCCAATGTATGCTGAATTCCAGAGCTCCCCAAAAAACAAAGATAATGAATACTACGATCCATACAAAACATTCAGGGTATGTCTAGACTACAGGCTTACGTCGACATAAGTTTTGTCGACAGATACTGTCGACAAAGAGCGTCTAGACTACATTCAGTTCTGTCGACAAAGCAAGCTGCTTTGTCGACATGGCAGTGTAGACGCAAAGGACAGTTTAGATGCAATAACGCCTTCTGTCGACAGAACTCTGTCGACAGAAGGCGTTATTCCTCGTAAAATGAGGTTTACCAGCGTCGACAAAACTGCTGAGTTCTGTCGACGTTAAGTCCACTTTTGTCGACAAAACCCTGTAGTCTAGACATACCCCTCAGAAACAAGTCCCGTATGTTGGAACTGCTCCCTAAGTATTGACATGAGTGTAGGGGAAATTCAGCTAGCCCATTTAGGGCTTGATCTTGCAGTGTGTAGAGCATGCTGGCTCTGATCAAGTGAAAGTCTTATGCTTAACATTCAACACGTGCTTGTGAATAAACCCATTAACTTCAATCGGCTAGCCACCTGCTCTAATGTTCATGCTTCTCTGCATCAGGGTCAGAGTGCTCCACACCTCGCAGGCAACAAGTGCTTGCTCAGAAGCCCATATGGAATCTAGACACATGAGCTCTGTGCCAAGAATTTGTAAGAGAATATGAGGGACTCCATGCTTAGGAGATTGTCTGGGGGCTACAGATGCCGCACAACAGATCTAGCTTGAGTTTGTGAACTAAATCTAACAGCTGGGAAATATCTGCCGAATTCTGCCTTGCGAAGTCACAAACAAGTATTTGATGCAGCCCCAAGTAATCCCCCAAAAGTCACAACATATGCCCAGCCCTACCTCCCCCAAAACAGCTGGGACCTGAAAAAGCACTTCTATAAGGAACGTGCCAAGTTTCCTAACACAGGAGTAGAGACTTGCAGTGCTGGAATGATTAAGCTACGCATGAGCCCAAATGGCCAGAGGCACTGGACAGAAATTCTCGGTGCTTAGGCAATTCCATGCACAGCTCTGTCCCCAGACTGCTGCAAACTGGTTCTAAAACCAGGGTTCTGGGGACAGCCCTTGCTCAAAAGGGCTCTTTCATTTCTTGGAGTTTTCCATAGGCTTAACTGATTGCTAGAACTTTGTATGAGCTACCCCCATCTCTCAGGAGTTGCCAGTCCCCTGAGTCACTTCCTCTTTTCAGTAGAATAGTGATAGAAATGTAGCCGTGTTAGTCTGGTGTAGCTGAAATAAAATACAGGACTATGTAGCACTTTAAAGACTAACAAGATGGTTTATAATAAAGTTGGTTTATAATAAAGCACTTACAAAGTGCTACATAGTCCTGTATTTTGTTCCTCTTTTCAGGCCTTTTCCCTTAGTCTCTTTCTCTGGATAGTGCTTTAGGAGGCAGTATTGTGGACAGAATGTGACTCATCTGCACCTGGCTAGTAGTTTTATGGTACCTGGGGTGCTAACTGCTGCAGCCAGGGGTCAGCAGTGTCTGCTGAAGTTAGTATATGTTCTGTGCTGCTCTGAGAGCTCCCTGGGAAATGGCCTGGATCTACAGCACTACGCAGCCTCTGTTAATTATATCCTAGACTCCCCTCCTTGCTGCTCTACATTCATCATGGTCCTTACTTGGTTTTTCCCTTTACATACAGTTTCCTTTTGGCCAAAGCTTTCCTGTATTAGAGCAGTTGGTGGCAGTAGCACACCTCCCTAAAATGGTAATGCAGCTTGATCTGCATGTGGCTGTGCTCACTGGAGAGGGCAGGGAAAGGGCAAGATAAATAGCAAGGAATCTTTCACTCAGCATGTAACATCCTGGGTAAGGCAGCCAGCGGTCAAGCTGGGTGTTGTGCTGTACTTAAGGGGCTAGTCTGCTATGCTGCACTAGATGGGTGCTAGACTCAGGGACATAAAGTTCATGGGGAATTGCATTCTCATGGGGTCATGTTACAGATGTCAGCGCTCTCACGCCCACCAGTCCTGTGGGTTTAGCCCTGTGGGAATCGGTGTTCTCACTGCGGTCTCAGGCTGTCTCGTCTGTAAGCGTAAGTGCAATCAAAGCCTATTGAAAATGCAAAGCACCAGAGAAGTTCTCAGTATTCTTATTGGGATGGGTTGGTGATTTTGCCCCATTTACCCTCATAGTTCTCATGATGTGTGATGAGGACTATGCTACTTGTATTTATCTTGGGCATAGGAATGGCCACTGGATCGGGCTGGTGTCTGGTTTGGGAACAAACAACCTAAGACCCGCCTATACTCCAGCAACTGAGAAAATCTGGCTCATCTGCTACTGTGGTCTTGTCCTTGATAGTGCAGCTGTGATTGCTTCATCCCCTCCCTTAAGCCTGTCTCCCTTGCTCTCTGCCCTTCTGAGGCCAACCTTCTCCAGCCCCACATCCCCACCATCCAGTGAGCATTCAGGGCTCTCCAATAACACACACCACCCTGACTGCTTATTTGACAGGTTATTGAGTGTTATTGCTCTGTAGATTCTTGTTACACATTTGCCTGGAGAGGGAGGTCCCACTGGGACTGGGGGGACTGAGATCCTGTGGGGAGGCCTTGCCAGGAATGGGCACAACTCAATCCATGGCTCATGTCACAGCTGAGGTGACTGAAGCGGGGGTTAGTAGCAAAGCCTGAAGAGTTAATTTCGGAAGCACTACAATACCCCCTCTGCTTCTGCACCACTCTCTTCCCCTGGCTGACTGAAGAATGTGCGGGGAAAGACGTCTCTCCGCATCTTGAGGGCGGCAGCAGCTTGGGATGGGGAGATTGCTCGGCGTGCACTGAGCAGCAGTCAAACAGCCAGCAGCCTTCCTTCCTCTCATGCTGGCAGGTCCATGCGGAGGGTGGACGAGGAAAGAGCAGGGAGCCTGCTGCTAGCTTCTGGCTGCCTGCACTTCAGGGCTGTCCTCCTGTGGCTCCTCGTCATCTGACTGCACCACGGGGGTCTCAGCACCCTCCTCACTGGTGTCCAGGCTATTCAGGTCTGTGGAGACGGAGGATGTGGATGAGATCCGAGATTTTATCTCAGCCGTGTTGGGCACTTGCAGGGTGATTTCCTCCTGGTAATGGCTGGGCTCTGCCCAAGAGAAAAGCAAGATTAGCAGAAGGAACCAACACCCTAGCACAGTGGTCACAGACCAGTCGATCGGGATCTGCTGGTACATCCTGGAGCCTCTGACAGGTGATCCTGACTGGTTTGTCCAGGAGGTTATCACCTGCCAGCACTTTGGCTGCCCCTCCCCCTTGCTGCCATGGTTCTCCTGCCTTGGAGCCTGCACTCTACATAAGAACGGACGTACTGGGTCAGACCAAAGGTCCATCTAGCCCAGTAGCCTGTCTACCGACAGTGGCCAACACCAGGTGCCCCAGAGGGGGTGGACTGAAGACAATGATCAAGCGATTTGTCTCCTGCCATCCCTCTCCAGCCTCTGACAGACAGAGGCCAAGGACACCATTTTATCCCCTGGCTAATAGCCTTTTATGGACCTAACCTCCGTGAAATTATCTAGCTTCTCTTTAAACTCTAAACCCTGAGATCTTCTTGCTTGCTGTGTATAATGGGGGAGAAAAAGACGGAGTGGTAATGTCAGGGTTTCCCCCTCTTCCTACCCCTGTACCATATCTCCACAGAGTGAGCAGGGCGAGGCCTCTGAGAAGGAGTGGGGCAGGGGCAGGGCTTCAAAGGGGTGGGGAAGGAGGTGGGGCAAGGGTATTTGGGTTTCAAGTAGATCCTGGATTGACTTAAATAGAAAAAGTGATCTTGTGCTTAAAAAGGTTGGAGGCCCCTGCGCTAGCATCTTCACTGGCCCTGTGCCCAGCCCCCTTCACTTCCACAGCAGGCTAAGCCGTCATCCCTTTCCCAGCCCATTGCAGGGGCTATATATGTGCAGAGCATCACTTCCGCAGCGGCAGTGAGCCTGGTGCACGGGGTTTCTAGGCCCTTTTGGAGGAAAGGAGACGAGGCAGTGATCCCTGGCAAATAGAGATGGGGTAGGAAGGATCTGGGTCGGAGGCCCTGGACTCAAAATGTGCATGGTCCAGGAGCTGTCTGTAAGCAGGGCTGTTATGCAGACCCACTGACCTCCAGCACAAGCTGAGCTACTAACCCCTACGCCCTGCTTTGATCCCCAGCGGCAGCCAGCTGCTGCTGGAGCTGGGTCTCCTTCCCCAGTTCCAGACTTTGGCAGCAGGGCATGTGGCTCACATTCCTTCTCCATTTTTGGCAGTGGAGCCTTTTCTATCTCACTTGTAAAATTCCAGCTTCGGGCCTTCATGTGTGCAGCCGTTTAACTGGAACAGAGGGGAAGCTGCTGGTATATGGCTTGACTCACTCTCGGTGACTCATTCTCAGAGTCACTCCAGGGAGTGCAGTCTGGGGCCATCAGGCTCCTGATGGCTCCTCCTCATCCACTGCAGCCTGCTCCTCCCCCGACTGAGGCTTCCCTCCCCAGGTAATGAGCTCAACACAGGGTACCTGGGGTCTGCCTGGCTCCCCACTCTCATGCGGTGAGCCCAGCCTGGGTGCTCACGCTACCCCTGCCATGCACAAGGTCGCTCACCGCAAGACAGGGCCTTGCCACCACCCCACACTTCGTGCAGAGAGCTCACCATGGGCAATCAGGCCCAGGGGGAGTGAGTGTGACAGAGCAGTGGCTCTACAGCAGGTTGGAGGGCCCAGACCTGCAAACCCTAAAAAGCTCAGAGTGCCTCCGCCCTGGCGAACTTGGATCTAGAAGTCTCTGCTCACTGCAGTGGTGGCTATTAGACAGGAGACAGGCGTTTGTACAATGGTATTGCTCCCTCAGATTAGATGTCGTCATGCTGAAAATGCCTGCGCCCTTTCTGCTCAACAGCTTCCCATGCCCATGTCGCCGAGGGAGCTGCACTAGGGGAGCTGGTGTGTACTTTTCCAGCCCTACCAGCCAAAGCCCAAAGTTTGTTTCCGGGACTGGGGAAGTCACAGTAGTTCTTGGACTGGGTCAAAGAACTAAGTAGGCAGGCAGCAGGGAGCTAACAAGCAGGAGTGAGGATGTACCTGGCAGGAGACCAGCAACACTGTTATCCTCTGTCCCGCAGCTGAGAAACACATCTACAGTGTCCTGGTCAGAAAGGTCCATCATGTCCATCTGCTCCAACATGTCCACGTTCACCTCCATGGAGGAAATGCTGCCCAGAGGAGCTGCAGAGACAAGGACCAGAAAACCAGGGAGAGACCATCACTTAGCCCAGCCACATGAAAACCTATTCGCCCTGGACCTTTCATGGAGGTTAGGTCCATAAAAGGCTATTAGCCAGGAGATAGAAATGGTGTCCCTGGCCTCTGTTTGTCAGAGGCTGGAGAAAGATGGCAGGAGACATATCGCTAGATCATTGTCTTCGGTCCACCCTCTCTGGGGCACCTTGTGCTGGCCACTGTCGGCAGACAGGCTACTGGGCTAGATGGACCTTTGGTCTGATCCAGTACAGCCGTTCTTATGTTCTTATGACCAGCAGCAGCTGGAAGATGATGCCATAGGAGGCCAGCCCAGGAAACTATCCTACTGGCTTGTTTATATTGTGAGCTCTTCAGGGCCCTTATCTCTATGGCCTGTTCAGGGCTCAGTAAATAACAGGTCACCCCCTCAGCACTGCCTTCCATCCTCTGATGTGTGTGACAGGCACCCCCTCCCGGCTGCACTTACGTCTCCTGTGCTCGATCTGCAGGTGGGACATGGGGAAATAGAAATCCACATCATGCTGGAAAACCTCCTCAAAGAACTTCTGCCTGTCACAAAATTTGAGCTGCTGCTGCATCTGCTCTGGCTCCAGTCCCCGCTGCCCTTGCTCCATGTCAGCTGTAGAGGAACAAGGTGGAAGATCAGGCACAGGCTAGATGCTGTCACATGTGGCATGGGAGACGAGCCAAGGCCAAATGGGGGCTGTGCAAGTCCTCTCTGTTCCTTCAATGGGTGCCTTGCAGGAGAAGTACTGCTCTCTAGGGCTGTGTCCAGACTCCATGCCTCCGTCGACGGAGGCATGTAGATTAGCCAGCTCGGAAGAGGGAAATGAAGCCGCGATTATTTTAATCGCGGCTTCATTTCCCTCTTCCGAGCTGGCTAATCTACATGCCTCCGTCGACGGAGGCATGTAGATTAGCCAGCTCGGAAGAGGGAAATGAAGCCGCGATTATTTTAATCGCGGCTTCATTTCCCTCTTCCGAGCTGGCTAATCTACATGCCTCCGTCGACGGAGGCATGTAGATTAGCCAGCTCGGAAGAGGGAAATGAAGCCGCGATTATTTTAATCGCGGCTTCATTTCCCTCTTCCGAGCTGGCTAATCTACATGCCTCCGTCGACGGAGGCATGGAGTCTGGACACAGCCCTGGGGTGCCTTTTGACTTGGTAGCAATGGAAGAGAGATTACAAGCCATGGAGCTTGCTCCAGCAGTGCAGTGTGTGCTGTGTGTGGGGGGGTCACTGCTACAGATTCTGCTCCTGTGATATGGCCCAGATAGTTCCAAACTTTGGGCTTCACCACCCGGGATCTCAAAGCCCTCTACAAACTTTAATTCTCACCCCCTCAGTGAGTGGGGGGGGGGAATGTTGGGTGATCCCCATTTCCCAGTGAGAGAAACCGAGGCATGGAAAGCAGAAGTGACTTGCCCTAAGGTCACACAGCAAAACAGTATCAGAGGCAGGAATAGAACCAGGTCTCCCAACTCACAGGCCTCTGCTCTAGCCACTAGATGATGCTCCTGCCTCTCATGGCAGAGAAAAAACAGGGCAGCCCAGATGTTGAACATTCAGCATTGTGTAACCAGGGAACTCAGGTGTGTGTGCTAGGAGGTAGTCTCAGCTCCAGCCTGTCACACTCTGGTTTTCCTGCTGCTTAACAAAGGGTTAACCCACGAATTGCTTTTGAATATTAACATGCAGCAGAAACTCTCCAAGGAACAGAGTCCCTGTGATACTCAACTAAGAAATTTGACAGTAATATAATGGGATTAAGATTCCCAGCTCCACCTGCAAACATTCCCTTCCATAGGCCAGTCTGTAATCCCAGCCCCGCTCTCCTCCCACATGCACACACACAAACAGGCTCCTCCATTCGCCCCACCCCTTCCACACACAGCCAGCCTGGATTTTGCTTCATCCCTCCCATGGTTTAACTCTGCTCCAAAGTGCAAAGAGGAGCCACTGGGAAGCGGCAGGCTGAGCCCTCTGCAGGGAACAAGGCATGGAGGGTCAGTTCCTCCTAAACACAGCAGGGCCTCTCTCTGTCCCTCCGGCTTCAGGAACCCGGAGGAGCAAAGAACAGGGAGACCTTCTAGCTTGGCCGGTTGCTTTCTTGGGCCCAGATCCGCTAAGGTGTTTGAGTTCGGTGGAATTTAGGAGCCTAAATACCTTTGAGGAACTGGGCCTTGCTGGAATATTCCAGCAGCTGCCTGGATGCTCCTAGACTGGAGTCTCATTCCAGGATCTGTCTCCGCTGCCCCCGGGGCAGCATAAGTAAAATGTGACAAACCAGCGGAGCAGGGCAGTAACCAAGGAAATCAAACAAACATCCCAGCCTGTTCCCAACCCAGCACTGACCAAACCCACGTCCGGTAGCAAAAGGCAGCAACTGCCTGGGAGCCCCACCCTGTCTGGCAGGGGCTGTGTCAGTATCAGGACTAGAATGGTAAAACATAGGACCCCAGAGGAAACAAACTTTCCCCTTTCCCCGGCACTTGCCCCAAGGAAATCCTTCAGGGCTACTCCCGGCCAAACACCTGCTCCAAGGAAATCGTTCAGGGACAAATTCCCTGCCCATACATCATCCCCAGGGAAACCCGGAAGCCTCTCAAGGCTAAACTTCCCTCATGAGATATATGCCTCAGGGAAACCCTGGCCTCAAGACTATTCCCCCCACCAAAAACCCTTCAAAGCTAACCTCCCCCTGGAAATCCCTTAGGTTGCACATGGATGTGTGCACCCCCCCAAAATCCCTTAGGGTGCACATGCACAGTCGTATTAGCCTTCCACCCAGAAATCCCTTAGGGCGCATGCACATACATGCAGAGCCCCTCCCTCAGAGCTGAACTCAAAAGAACCAGCTGCTAACACTTCAGAATATGTGGCTCAGAGTGACCTGCACATTTCCTCAGGGATACTATTACTGCTGGTTCTGCTTATCCCATCACTACTGGGCCTAGGTCCGTGCTCTAACCCGCCTGGGATAAGTTCTAGTTTCCCGGTCTAGGCCTCTCCACTTACTGCAGCCCGTCGCCGTCTGTCTCCGTGTCTATCGTCAAGGACAGGCTGGAAAGGTGCCCGTGTAGCCAGGATCTCACACGCTTTGCCAAAAGACTAAACCGCATGTTGAAAGCGCCTTAACAGGATGCTGCGATTAAGCCCATTTTGCTTTCCTTGCTGATCTCACCATCTGCTGCTGCCCACTGGCCAGGATCTCATTCTCCTCCTTATCCTGGTGCAAGGCCACACAGAAACCAAGCCCCCACCCTCACCCCCAAACACATACCCACTAATCCATCAGCAACTCCAGGCCAGTGTCACAGAGAGTCTGGGAGGCAGAGGGCGATAGGGGGTACAGCTCCGGCACATAGGCAAGGAGGAGACCGGGGTGGTCTAATTACAAAGCTGTGGACTGCACAAAGAACAGGTTAACCCTGGAGGATTGTGTCTCCTTCAATTAGCATCGAGGTAACTCGGCCCCTTTGACAGTCGGTGCAGGGTAGCTAATGACACAGCCCAGCTGCATGGAGCCTGCCCTATTGTACTCTCCCACCCAGGCAGAACCGCAAGCTTCCCACTGCTCCAGGAAAGCTGCAGCTGTACCACTGTTGGAATCCGTGGCTAACGGGCTGGACTAGCCAGTGGCTTTTCACACGTTTCCCCCGGC